GTGAGGTGAAATGGGGTTTAACGTCGCGTCCAAGATCATTGCACTTATATAGCGACGTGCATGTACGTGTGTGTGTTTGTGTGGCTGCTTGTACTAGTCCGAACTAATGCCGATTGTATAGTGCTAGCCCACTGAGATACCATGCCGCATTTCAACATGAATACCACACTCAAACACTGTATACTGGCTCCGAGCCGACCAGTCCTTGTTTTAGCCCCTAAATGCCGAGCGCCAGACAGGGTAACAACAAGTTAACGTCTTTTGGTATGACGCGGCAGGGGATCGAACCCCGGACCTTCCGCTCACTGGTCGGATGCTCTACCACTAGACCACGGAGGCGGTCCGACTTCAAAGGTAACGCATTCACACATACAAGTCGATAGGCGACAGGTAAAAATGACCCTTTTTGGACATTAAATCCTCGTTAATTCCTGTTTATCAGGACGGTTGTCTGATATCGGCCATCCACTTGTGAGTGAGTGAGTGATTGAGTTTGGATTTACGCCGCTTTTAGCAATATTCCAGCAATATCACGGCGGGGGACACAAGAAATGGGCTTCACACATTGTACCAATGTCGGGAATCGAACCCGGATCTTCGGCGTGACGAGCGAACGCTTTAACCACTAGGCTACTCGACCGCCCCTCTATCCACTTGTGTCGAAATAGTGATATTTCGATGTGTTCGATTAGTAGTATAGCTAGATTTCAGAATGTACTACTCAAAAGTGGGGTGAGTTTCACGCAGTTTTGAGGAATAGTGCAACCACATGGCACTGGAACACCAGAAATTGTCTTTACACAAAGGTCTTTGTACCGGTTTGGGGAATCGAACCCGCGTCTGCAGCTTGGAGGTCTAGTGCTTTAACCACTACGCTATCCCACCGTCCCTATCTCTCTATAACTACATGGTAGTGATTATATACATAATAATCCACGTAAATAACGCATGAGGTCACCTGTTGAGCCAGATCTTTTTTGTTTAAGTATTTTATTTCCGAAACGTGTGGTAGGTAGGTCGGAACGAATATAACAATGTCATGCTTTCAACATTTCAATGGAATTTTGAGTCCGTACGTGTAGGTGAAAACATAAGGATGTCTGGCTTTGGTCCTTACAGATGTGACCCGTGAAGATCCGGGGTAGAATAGGCCTACAGCAACCCATGCTTGCCGTAAAAGGCGACTATGCTTGTCGTAAGAGGTTACTAACGGGATCGGGTTGTCAGGCTCGCTGACTGGGTTGATGCATGACATTGTATCCCAATTGCGTAGATCGATGCTCATGATGTCAATCACTGGATTGCCCGGTCCAGACTCGATTATTTACAGACCACCGTCACATACCTGCAATATTGCTGAGTGCGGCATTAAACACGACCAAACAAACAAACAAACAATTATTGATTATTACCAGGTGTCACCGTGTTTTTCCAGGTATGTTTTAAAAGAAAAAACGTCGGTTTCTTACATACATTACAACATTACGTGGCCGGGCCCCAAGAGTAATATATGTTTTTCATCACTTTACTTCTTTTCCTTGGATACATCTATACATAAAAGAGCCCAAACATTTCCATAATGATCGTAATCAATATATGCCAAGACCAGTGTCCACAGTACTACTATATATTAAGCATCTCTTTGTGAATCACTAACACATAGTGAGGATGACAGATGTTCGCGAAAAGGTGAGCGTATCCTGCCCCACCGGTGGCATCCGTCACAAACACATGCAAAGGCAAGTCAAACGTTCACCTGAAAAAAGACGGAAACATATGGCACGAGACAAAATAGGTAATTGCATCGGACATAATTTCGTTCACTGATGCGGAAATGTCATCCACATGTCGACCAGAAAAAAGGGGCGGTCGGGTAGCCTAGTGGTTAAAGCGTTCGATCGTCACACCGAAGACCCGGGTTCGATTCCCGACATGGGTACAATGTGTGAAGCCCATTTCTTGTGTCCCCCGCCGTGATATTGCTGGAATATTGCTGTAAGCGGCGTAAAACCATACTCACTCACTCTACCAGAAAACTTTTGGATTTGGAAAGCTTTACTGAAGCCTTGAATGTTGTTACCCTGTTCAAACAATTTTAAGAAAATATTTGTGAATTTTGATTTTAATCTCCGAAATTCATGCTGCCTCTCATATGTATGTTATATAGTTAAGCTGGTAATTGATGCTATACAGACCGTTACAAAATTAACTATCGGAAATAAAAGTGCGCAAACCCTATGTTAACATACCCTGTACATTCGGGTGGGACACGTTGTATGACTGACAATGTAATAACCGCAGGGATTCTCCAACAGTCGTGTGTCGTGTGTATAATTGTGTTCTCAGGTTGCGAAATACATTTTGACGACAGATGTAAATGAAGTGGTACATATGTACAAGTGCCTCGTCCGTTCTCAAAGTGTCGTGACAAGAGCACACACATCCATTTAAAGCGCGCGTAAAATCTCTCACACTGACGCCGCCCTATGAAATGTGCTCCGCCGTGAAGGATTGACGCTCATTATCAGAATTCAAGTCATTGTTGCAATCTTCAGTATCTCAACCAAGTAGGCTTTCCGAAAGGTCAGGACGTAACGAGTCGGCTTTAAATGGGGCATCACTTAATTATTTTCTTCCAGTGAACGAGCATAACACTCCGCTCGCCTCATGTATTAATCACCACTCACTTTCCGCAAACTGTAAGAAGACTCCTGACTGTCTCCAGTTGGTCACGACTGATGTTGGTCTCGTCACTCGTGACTCGTGATCGTCCACCGCCAAAGCTTCAGGAAACGGGAAGTGCAAAGTGGCGTTTCTGGCTACCTCCTGTGTTCAGAGTGATGCGAGTGAGTTGGGTTTAGCGCCGCTTTTAACAATATTCAAGTTATATCACGGCGTCTCAGCTTCATGTGGGAGGAAAGCCCGAAGTGATGCAGGTCTAAGACGTTTATCACTTCGGTAAAATCCAGGAGCACGGGTATGGTGCTCACAAACCTAGAAATATAATTGGGGCGAACCGGGATTCGAACCCACAATCATAGGTTTCTGACGTGCCCAAGAGACGCAACTCTGCACAGCGAATCGCGGCGACTTAGATGGCTGGGCCACCCGTGGAATTGCATGGAAATCATGTTTGTTGCCAATGCGTCAAATTTGGAAGTCAAAGATAAACCAACAACCGGTACACTGAGAGAACAAGGGTCCTAATTGGGGCAATTCTGGGATTCTAACCTCGATTGGCGCATCTGTAAATGGCAGAGGGATGCTACAATGCACAGGGAAGACCTAGACCGACTCTTCTTTTGACAGTTATCATGAGTGCCCCATACATTCCTCTCCGTGGAGATTCAGAGTACGCATTGATTCCTAGCTACCTATTCTCCTCGAACTGGGCGCCCTAATGGATGGGGTGGTCAGGATTGGTGTCATGGTTGACTTCATGTCACAGTATCCCGACAGCGTAAAATATTTGCTCATTATATCAGTCACTGAACTACCCGATCGAGGCATGAGTATCACAATCTACGTGATTACAATGCATATTTCTTAACATATAAAATATCTCTATTGGCGACGTCTGCATGTGTTTATGGCAACTGTATTGTCAGTATATATTTTTGAATATTATATACATTTATTGATGAACGTGTTGAATACTAAATTTATGTTGGTTTAAAAAAAGCATAATTGTCCCAAAATAGTACCTGATTTTATTTATGAATAACACAATAAACAATTACCATACAATCAAGGGCAGGTAATTTGAGATGGCGAGAACCACGAGAATGGATCCAGGGGTTAGTTTGGTTTTACCGAAATGCTGCCCTTGAGATAATGAGGATGTTTGGAACATGTCAGAGACGTGAACCAAAATACATCAAGGACTGCTATATTATTGATAAAATTTATACTGAAAATAGGATCTGATTGCAAGCTACGTAAGCACCCTGGCGGAAGCTGAAACGCCGCACACAAAGTTACATCTGCATATTTTCAAACAAATGTTTGCGATTTACAGTAATTAACTGTTGCTTGACAACGGTATAAGGATATATACGGAAACGTCGCCTTTGCAGTAATTAAAGAAGTTATTATCGATAAATTGTGTCTACTTTGTGATTTTGTTTCATGGCGTTGTGTTTAGTCTTTGTTTATATTTATGTGGAGAGTCTCACATTTCTTGGTCTTCGTGGATACCTTTGGTTTTCTTGGTAGAAGACAAAACGTCTTTGTGTCGATGTTAGAGGGGGAAATACATTTTAGTCGAGGTTTTTTTGTGAAGGAAACTTGCTTCTTTGTGTCGATGTTAGAGGGGGGGATACATTTTAGTCGAGGTGTTTTAAGTATGGATCTGATAAGTTTGGATGTCCAAGCCCCCAAAAGGCTAGACTGCAGTATACCGGATATCTTCTGTCATTTTGTTAAGGGATAAGCATGAGCTCCTTCTTAAATAACTGTTTCTAAGTTGTTCAGCCACAAATGTTTAGCCATCTCGTTTTACAATGTTTCAACAGGGGCAACACCCTATACACAAGTCCTTGTAATAAAGCTTTTGTAAGTAAATGTCATTTTCGGCAACCAAAGTCAATCAAAAATATAATATGTTCATTGAAATGTGGTCCTGATGCATGTGACTGATGGATTCCACACACCATTATGGAAATTCTATTTTCAAGATAGTTTCTAGGTGTTGATGTCTTGTCTGATTTATGATATTAATTGATCGTTCATTGATATTCAATTTCATGGTTTAATCATATTAAACCATACAAATACAAAATGGGGAAACAGTTGGCATTAGTCCTAGAGTCCTTGATATAAGTCTTCATTATAAGGACTAGTGGACTAAAGGTGTTAGTTTCTATCGCTCGGTAGTATCTTCAGCTTATTTTGAACTTTATCCCCCTATTTTTCAAATAGCCATGCTGTCATGGAAACATCAAACAAATATGGCCAACAGGTAAAATGCAAATGTACCCCAAAATGAAATAAAACAAACATTTTGAAGAAACTGCTTTATTGGAGGAGGATTAGTTGATAGCATTTAGTTGACATTTGATTATCTCTATAATATACACAAGATATAAGTACACCCACTGGCAGCAGTATGTCTAACCCCCCGGACTAGACATACATGGAATGACGAACCACCTGGAAACAATGTGCAACAGACACACAAAATGTCTAACTCTTCAAATTTTCTGATTCTGATTTCATGCAGTGAACAGCAGTCTGACTCTGAGCCTTCTCCCACTGAAACTACCTTGACAAAACTCTCAATGAAAGAGCTATGTAATGCCACAGGCCCAATAAATCGCAACCTGCACTTCAAAGAACATTTTCACTAGGGCCTCACGACACTGAACAGCGTTGCTGCAGTTTCGATAACACACGGATCAGCCGACGTATGACACCTGTGGCAATTAGAATGTTATCAGTCTAAATTGAGGGGGAGGGGAGGGGGTGTCATTCAGGTATTCAATTGAAGTTGCATCTAGGGCCCCCATGCATCATTAACCTTTAACATTAGGGTAATGACAAGGAAGGAGCCCTTGAGCTTCATGTTTAATTTCAAACACTGGTTGTAAGACAGGGCCATTGACATGCTTTCACAAAGCACTTCTACTGTTCAATCCCCATCACATGGACCTCTATAGTCATAGAGCACCTTGTCTTAACCTAGGCCCCATTCCACAAACCGATGACAGCGCTAAGATTAAAACTCAACACTTGACAAAGCCTTAGGACAGCCACCGTGCTAAGATCAGCTTGTAGAACTGGTCCCTGGTCTTACAGTAAGGTTGTTTTGTGCAAGCAAGTCATGAACCCTTGTTCATATGCATCTGGGATTCAGCACGAACCTTCAACAACAGCACATAAAAAAGATAAAAGCAAGAGAAAAATAAATACCCCAACTCATGGTCTGAACTTATTCACATTTTAAGGAACCTAAGAAATGGGGTGTTCAACACCCAGGTTTGCTTCCACATTAAACTTTAAATAACAGAAAATATCTGTAAAAAATCTTATGTTGTAACCCCCAAGTTTTGTAAAGCAAATAAAGAAATTAAAATTAGTACAGGCAGGTTATATGTCTAAGGTGGAGGTGAACATATGACTCCCAAGTGTTGGACAAAAAATAATTTAGAAAAAAAACCACAATGTTTCAGAAATACTCCTCAAAAAGTAACACTGCTGTGTTCTGATAGGATATGAAAACCAGAGGGAAGCAACTCACAGAATAGGTAGATACTTAATAGAATGGTCAAACAAAATATTCAACCCCGATTGCTATTTCAGAGTTTTCATAGTCTTACATCAGACATACATCAAAATGACAAGATCGACAAATATAGAATTCTTCACAAAGATTAACAATTCAAGATTGATCATGACAATTTATTTTCCAAATTATAGTTTCACATAGTGTAACAAACCTTAAGTCCTGACCCATACCATTTCACCAGGGAACCAGGAGTGACGCAATGATGACAATGAAATGATTAAACCAGCCTTGGCAACAACACTAACTACCAACAGCAAATACTGACAGGAACTTGAATAGATAAATAACTTATTCTATCATAAAATTATCTCAAAAGCCAAGCTGAAGAAGTCACCAAAACCCCTTTACAGGTTTGGGACTGTCTTGTCACTGATAGGAACAATCCCTGGATGATGGTGATGCCTTTAAATCAATGAAACTTGTTGCAGCAAAGGAAACATGGAATTACCAAGTTCTACTGTCATTCTGACAGTTGAGAAAATGCACTTCCTAATGTGCTTAAAAATGGATCTTCTGTTTGGTTCCATAAAAGGCCTGGTTTTCACGACACAAAAACACAATACAAGGAAAGTGGGGAACTTAGGTGACAGAGACTTACAGATACACAAATATTTCAATTTTTTTAGCCTTGTTCAACAAAAACAATATGAAATAGAATAAATAGTACAAACTTGCAAACTTGCAGAGTCCTGGCATTTGGTAGAAATTGAAGAAAGAGTATGTTGACAAGTCCCAAAATTCTTGTCATAATAACGATAAAACTGCATGATTATTTTAAAAATGTAGATTGAAAAAAGTATTTATCCCTTTAATGACCTTCTGACACTGATATTTCTGATACTTTCTCAAAACATAAACGCTTTATTATTTCTTAATCCATGTTGGCTAACCATACCATCATTAACCCCGAAGTATCATGGAACTTATAGGAAAAGAAAGGTGAGTGTCCCTTGATGAGCAGCTCCATGTAAGCTGAACTAGGTGACACAGACAACATGCATAGAAAGTTGGAATCCTGACATCTAACATTTGCACAAACTAAGTCACATAATAACAACTACAATAACCAGATGTTGGTTGATCACACACGGTGCAAAGAATAATTGTCATCAGCTACACAGTGTGGGCCCTTGTCTCCTCCTGCCTTCAACAGGAGTGAGTGAGTGAGTGAGCGAACGCTTTAACCACTAGGCTATCCGACCGCCCCGCTATCAACAGGAAAGGACCTTTCATAAGTTTTCAATTTTTGTGTAAGATAAAACCTGAGTTACAGAAAACATGTTTATGCTTGTGCTGTATCGTGAAACGTAAAAATACATATACAAAGTTCGGAATGTATTTTAGTAAAACATGATGAAAGTAAATTTTGAGAATCACAATCAGAAATCAGAAACCTGGAAAAAAACATTATTCACTGATGACTGTATCTTAATTTAGAAGAATCGTTTTTTTGCTTGAAGAATTCACAGATGCATGATGTTCTGAATTGTCGCAAGGTTGTCGTTGGCTCTCATTGGTCAACCTTTCGGTTCACCTCAGGACCAAATGAATTTGTATACAAAGACCACATCAAAGGGACACCCTTGTCCCCGAGCCGATATGGATTTTATTACATCAGACACACACAAAGTCTGCAGTCATCACCAACAATACAAGAACTACTTCCCAATATGTGCAATCAACATACAACAGCGTACTGGCAGATGATGGTTGACCTGTGCAAGGGAAGACTGTAGAATGTGTACGAGTCTGCATGATATACTATACAGCTTGCGATGATGGTCTGTTTAATCACTTCTGCAGCTTTCCTGACAGCCAGTCCAGGCCTTCGTACAGCCCGTCTCCGGATGTCGCACACGTGTTCTGGATATACCATTGGCGACCACCCTTTGATGAAAGATCCAGCTTATCTGTCATTTCAGCCACACTTATGGCATTTGGCAAATCCTGTGATGGAAAGAAGGAAACAATCAGTGGTCATTCTAGACATCACCAAAGCAACATCTTTTTAAAAAAAACTATGTAGCCCTCAAATGTGGTAGATGGTTTCCCATGCAATAGAAAACTGGTACTGTAAATCGATCATGTAGTACTCATAACAATACATTTATTAACGCAGTCCACTGCCCAGTGGTGGGATAGCCTAGTGTTTAAAGTTTTTGCTTGTTTGTTGTTTAACACCACACTCAGCAATATTCAATTTATATGACGGCAGTCTGTAAGTAATCGAGACTGGACCAGACAATCCAATGATTGACATCATGAGCATCGACCCATGCAATTGGGATACAATGACATGCGTCAACCAAGTCAGTGAGCCTGACCACCCTACCCATTAGTCGCCTCTTACGACAAACAAGGTTGCCTTTTACAGCAAGCATAGGTTGCTGAAGACCTATTTTACCCTGGATCTTCACGAGTGTCACATGGCACACGCAAAGATGTCGGCTTTGGATGTCACACTCACTGAATGTCATTTCAACATACACAACATAAGCTGTTAACAATTAACTAGAACTAGAAGTTGGCCTCATTTTTATTCAGATTGATAATAGAGTTGACTAGGGGGGCTATTTTCACCAATGCAATTGTATTACAAAAGTAGCCTCAACAAAATCAAATATACCATCAACAGTACACCTTTTTGAGTGTAGACGCCATGGCACCCCGAAACTACAGACACATCAATATAATAACCAGTGCCAATCTCATTAAAATCAGATCTTAGTTCTCCCTATTGCTAAACAAAGATCTGAGGACATCCCATTACGGGTCACGTCAGAACGACCTTTCATCCAACCAATTAGACGGAATGTGTTTTCTGATCATGCAACCTCTAAATATTTAACGTAGGGTATTCCGAACGACAGTTGCGGGTTTTATGATTATATCCATACAATCTAGGCCATCTGTAAGCCATTACAGAATGTTCTTTTTATCGATTTAAATTTTTTAACCGAGAATATGTCAAAATATGTTTCAAAGCGTAGTTGCCAGTTTGAAACTAGTGTCGTAAAGCTAGAGAAAGCTGCCTTCTGATTGGCTAATGTCGATTTCTTGTCAGTCATTCCATTGATCGGTCAAAGTTCGCGAGAGGTCGTTCTGACATGACCCGTAATGAGATGTCCTCAGATGTTTGTTTAGCGGAAGCGAAAACTGAGATCTGATTTTAATGAGATTGAACCAGTGCTTTATTTTTTGTTAATCAGAGCTCCCCGATCATGTTCATTTTCGAAAAACAGAAGTAAGATTTGCTTCGCTCACCCATACCAAGAATGAAGCAACTTTGATGTTAATTGGCGGTTTAGAAAATCCTAGGATCTTCACACAGACTACAAGATCTGAATGAGTGAGTAAGATGTTTTAGTTTAACGCCAATTTTAACAGTATTCCAGTTATATCGCGGCGTGTCAGCTTAATGTGGGAGGAAAGCCCGAAGTGATCCAGGTCTATGATGTTTACCACTTCGGTGAAACCAACGAGCATGGGTATGGTGCTGAAAAACCTAGAAACATAATCGGGGTGAACCTGGATTCAAATCCACAATGATAGGTTTCCGGCGTGCCCAAGGGATACAACCATGCACCGCGAATCACGGCACCTTAGACGACTGAACCACCCGTGCCACTACAAGATCTGATGTAAATGAGATTAAAAATGGGCTAATAGCATAGCCAGTGATTAGTTATATGTGATGATATGCATGGCAAATACAGCAGCCTACAACTCACCTGCTTATTGGCAAACACAAGAAGCACTGCTTCCCTCAGCTCGTCCTCGTTCAACATCCTGTTGAGTTCATCTCTGGCTTCCTGCAATCTCTCCCTGTCATTACTGTCCACTACGAAGATCAAGCCTGCAGCAGATACAACAGTCAATATTTGATGACATACCAAACTCGTCACCCAGCTCTAAAGTTGGTTGGTTGGTTTGTTGTTTAACGCCGCACACAGCAATATTCTAGCTATATGACGGCAGTCTGTAAATAATCGAGCCTGGACCAGACAATCCAGTGATTTATTATCATAAGCATCGATCCACGCATTTGGGATCGATGACATGCATCAACCAAGTCAGCGAGCCTGACCACCCGATCCCATTAGTTGCCTTTAACGACAAGCATAGTCGAAGCCCTTGTGAATAATGCACAGTTGTTCCAAAACTTACACCAGTGTAGAAGGGGTACATGACATGTTTGTTTTGTTTGTTTTATGTGTAATGCTGCACTCAGCAATATTCCAGCTGTATGACTTCTGTCTGTAAATAATCGAGTCAGAACCAGACAACCCAGTGATTGACATTATGAGCATAGATCTATGCAATTGGGATTGCATGTCACCCATGGACCTCATCCTTACCTTGAGTGTTCTGGAAGTAGTGTCTCCACAGAGGCCTGATTTTATCCTGACCTCCAACATCCCACACGGTGAAGCTGATGTTCTTGTATTCCACCGTCTCGACATTAAAACCTACAAACATAATCACAGTATATAAGAAATACTGAACACATGAGGAATATAGCCATGATCTAATAGAATCTACCCCAGCACTGAAACAACATATCCATGAACTTAGAAATCGAAACCCAGTCTCCTGCGATGTCTGCACAATATTTTAACTCTTTAACAATGCTAAGCATCAGGTCTTGATATACATGATATAAGGAACTTGATTTATCTTACCATGCTTACAGCTACACCGGTCACATGTTGACATGAAAGCTAGTTGACCAAATAGTATTAGGTTGCATCCATAAATTTATCGAAGTCTGCTGCCAATGTCACATAATTTGATGATGCTTTGTTTTGTTTGTTTGTTGTTTAACGCCACACTCAACAATATTCCAGCTATATGAAGAGGTCAGTAAATAAACGAGTCTGGACCAAACAATCCAGAGATTGATATCATGAGCATCAATCAACACAAATGGGATACGATGACATGCATCAACCAAGTCGGCGAGCCTGACCACCTGATCCCGTTAGTCGCCTCTTACGACAAGCATAGTCGCCTTTTACGGCAAGCATGAGTTGCTGAAGACCTCTTCTACCCCAGATCTTCACGGGTCAAATTGATGATGCATTGCTGTAATTTGTAAAACACAATAGGAACATGTGCACATGATCTTGAACATGTTGAAGTACCCACTATTTGATGACATCAAGACTAAAAGTGCATGACAAATAACATGTGAGAAAGGGACTAGTGCTGTGGTATGGTAAATAAACTTTAGAGGTATTGATTGTTTTCAAAGATCGACTGTGTGTGGACAAGCAAGGGCTAGTGAGACAGAAATTTTAATGTTTTATTTACATATACTATGTGCATGTAGACACAATTTTTGCAATAATAGGTTACACATGTGCATGTTTTGTATAGCTAAATCAAGCCCTGGCTATGTTAACCACTGTCAACAGCATAACCATGACAACCGACGTCAAAGTACATACATGGAATGAAGGACGAATAATATCAACATACAATGAAAAAGTGGTTCCTTGTTCATCATGGAAATCCTTCCTTTTTGACCATGTTGACAGTCGCTGTTACTAACTCAAATAGTGATGGCATATTTTGATGATCGAACATGCCAAGCATACATAGAGGTTATCAAGCGAGTGTGTTTGGGGATGGTAAATATCCTGCATTAGGAATAAACATTGTATTTAGCGAGCCTTGGCGAGCTAAATACATAGTGTTTATTCCTAATAGGCTCGCTAAATACAATGTTTATTCCTAATGCAGGATATTTACCATCCCCAAATACACAAGCGTGATAACCTCTTTATCATATAATGTCATTCTTTAATTCTGAGCATCAAAATCGCTTTCCCTCTCTCATAAACATTACCGAATATTGCGAGTTTTCCTGGAATGCGCGCATTAATATTTATTACGTCACAGGGTAAGTGATGTGTCAGTCGGAGAGTGACAGTAGCCAATATAGCTCCAACTGAAATCTGTTTCTTATACAGTTGCGAAGCAACATATACGCAAAACAACAATTGTTTTTAATTGCCTTTCGCGGCAATCCATCGGTCTGTCCGCTAGAGTAACTGCCCTTTGTCAAAGGGAAGCTACTCTAAACCAAGTCTACGAGACGTCACGGCCACGGTCAGACGTTGTTGACAGTCGGTCTGTCCTGTCATAACGTTAAGAAGTGTAGTCAGATGCACACACAGCGACAAAACGAAACAAGGTAACAATTCAAACATATTTCGGCCAAATCCAACTATTTTAATTTGTGGAGAAGGTTTCAAGCCGCAGAGGTCTACAGGAACAGATATGGCTATTGATCCCGCCTGGCTAGGCCTCGTGCCCTCGCAAAATTGTTTCTCCAAAGTTGCCAAAACTTATAAAATGCCTTCGCGACGTCACAGTTAGACACTGATTTTCAGTATATTAGACCGATAATGATAGCAATTATCTCTGTAGTTTATCCAGATTCTCGATGGTTAGTTCTGACTTGATCGCCGAATGACAAGGGCGACGCCATGTTTGTTTATAAACAGTGAAAGTAGTCCCTACTTGACCTTTGATATTTGCATCTCTATCCCCATATGACCCCAACGGATATCGTTTTTATCCGTTGGCTTTATCCTACCGAAAAACATACCCATTATATGATAAATTCATGTATTGACAAAACAGTTGATAAGGCCAAGCAGATGAAAGCATATTTGATAACATTAATTGTGTAAACTGTGTGCTATTGAGAGCTACACTAAATACCAAAGAAGAAGAGTCTTACGCCGGTCAGTGTAAAATGCAAATTCCATACGGAATTGATATTCTGACTCAATAATTGGAACAACACAAAAATAGACATAATCTTTCATTACGGACTAAACACATCTTTCCGCCTCCCTTAGTTAATACATTTTTATTAGATCAACTGAACTTAGACAACGCAGTATGATTAGCTGCCGCTGTAACCATCAACAAATAATCTTCTTTCAAACTTTCTACTTCTGTTAAATGAAATGCGGAATACAGTAAACTACGTTTATAACAAACACGCTTATAACAAACTGACCGATATAACGAACTTGTTTCTTAGTCCCCGCCATTTGTTGTATATATGCTTATAATGAACTATGGTTATTACGAACTAAAATTAGTGGACCCTTTTTGTTATAACCATAGTTTACTGTATTTTCAAATGAAACTTTACTATCTACAGAAACTGAAAACTAATCAGAGTCCGAGACAACTGCCTGCCCACCTGCCCCTGGCTAGTAACTTTTCTGGCTGCTGTCAGCATGGTCAGAGTGTCTGGCAGGTGAAGTTAAGACTACCTATGTATTCATTTTATCCTCCTTGTAGATTCTCAAGTAATTGTTTGCATTATTTCAGTGAGTTAGTTGGGTTATACGCCGCTTTTAACACTATTCCAGTTATATCACGGCGTGTCAGCTTAATGTGGGAGGAAAGCCCGAAGTGATGCAGGTCTCAGACGTTTACCACTTCGGTGAAACCCACGAGCACGGGTATGGTGCTGACAAACCTAGAAACATAATCGGGGTGAACCGGGATTCGAACCCACAATCATAGGCGTGCCCAAGGGACGTAACTCTGCACAGCGAATCGCGGCGCCTTAGACGACTGGGCCACCCGTGCCCCGCATTATTTCAACTGAATCAAGACGTGATATCATTATGTCTCTTTTTGCTATTTTTCAATATTTATGTCTGAATGCGAGCATGTAACTCTGAAGATGGGCAGGCAACACTTATGGTCACATGCCTGACTATCTTGCTGGGTTTCAAAAATATTTCAAACACTGATACTAACACAGTCTATGTCTTAGTTTATCCATATATAACATAATATAACCAAAGACATAATTATACAATACCCTTTATAATCTTAATCTGGAGTGCCCAACAATTATGTCCATCTTAAGCCATATTATATTAATATTCATTAGCTCTTCATAAAATAATATTTATCCTGCTGATTCAACATCCTCAATAATTACTCGACCATCCTGACATACTGTTTAAACCAAATAGAGAAACGACCCAAATCACCTCCAGCTACTTTATTATGTGTAGTTCTACCGAAGTGCAAACTATCTATCCAGAAATTGACATGAACATGTGACACAGCTGGTGACTGCTCATAGCCCCTAACTTCAGTGCTAATGTATTATATATCATTGACATCAAAATTTTGCTGTAAAATTTAGAACAGCAGATTGACAAAAATCATGCATATTGGGCTGAACAATTCTGATAATCTCCAAAGCCTGATCAGAGAGAACTGTCTGAATAACATGCTGTAAAATTGAGCTTGAAATATTTATACACAAATACTTATAGGTTGATACGACATCTAATCTAAACCTACTACTGTATGATCAACTAACAGCACACCATCGGCAAATGTCATGGCTGGGGGGTATTGTTATACACAGACTCCTCCTAAATACTAACCTATAGACTTCAATACTATAAATTCCTTCCAAATTTGAATTCTACAACAATAGGATACCTGTTTGTTATGTCGCCAGCTACCTGTGTCTGTGGGTCGGCAACAGACAAAAAGCTGACAATGGCTTATACCAGCCTAGTAATGTTTGTCAACTTTGTTGGGAGAGGTGAAATGGGGTTTAGCATCGTGTTCGAGATTATTACATTGATATGTGTATGCACATATGTGTTTGTGTGTGGCTGCTTGTACTAGTCAACTTTGTTTGGCCTTGTCTCTACAACATCCAAGACAGGGTTGAGCATTCCAAATATTCTGTCTGATTAAGAGCCTGAAGTTAAATCAGAATGAGTTGGTTGGGTTGTTTTGATTGTTGTTTACCGCCACACTCAGCAATATTCCAGTTATATGCATGATATGACGGTGGTCTGTAAATAATCGAGTCTGAACCAGACAATCCAGTGATTCACATCATGACAATTCGGATACAATAACATGCATGAACCAAGTCAGTCAGCCTGACCACCCAATTTCGATTGTCACCTCTTACGACAAGCATGGGTTGCTGAAGATCTTTTTAACCCGGATCTTCACAGGTTTGGGTTGGGCGCCATTTAGAACAGTATTGCAGTTATATCACAGCATGTCAGCTTAATGTGGGAGGAAAGCTCGAAAATGATGCAGGTCACAGACGTTTACCACTTGTGTGAAACCCACGAGCACAGTCACATCTATCATGTCTATGTTGCTAAAATAACCAAGTATGCATTTTTAGGGTAAAAACATTTTTTATACTTATCCTTACTCATTCTTATTGCTTATCACTACTCATACTTTGAATGTGCTGAATTTGATGTTAGCTATTTGTTGTTTAACGCCACACTTGGCAATGTCCCAGCTGTAAGACAGCAGCCTGTAAATCAGAAGAGCCTAGACCAGACGATCCACTGATCTATATTTCCTGCCACAAGCCACTTAAACATGTTAAAGTAAACAACTAGATTCAAGCTTAGAACCGTATGTTGTGGAGTCCATGTAGTGTTCAATCCTCAACATTATGTACTGCATCCTCCTTGAAACACATCCATACCCAACTCGGACACAGTATACAGACTCCTGCGCATATGAACCCTTGTTTTATCCCCTTAATGCCAAGTACCAGGCACAACGACGACAAGTATCATCTTTTGAAGTATTTTGGTATCGCATGGTCTGGGATTGAACCACCGAAGCATAAACACTGCTCCCCTACATCACTGTACATTGTGAAAATATCCAGTACAGTAACAGCAGGCTATTTGTTGGCTTTTCGACTGTTCATTATAAAAAAAATAGGACCAGTGTTTACCTATTGTTGGGATAGTTGTGACAATTTCTCCTAGTTTCAGCTTGTACAGGATCGTGGTCTTTCCAGCTGCATCAAGACCCACCATCAATATCCTCATCTCCTTCTTGCCAAACAGCTTTTGGAACATGGACTGAAATACACCCATCTTGAAGCTTCTCTGAAACAAAACAATAATGAGTGAGGTGAGATGAGATGAGTGAATGGTGAAGGCAATTTTCCAACCATATGATATATACAGCTAGTGCAGTGTTAGAATCTAAAAGTCATAAATCTGGTTAACTTAAAGTCAGAAGATTTACAGTTATCTACATCATGTACAAGTTCAAATAATATTGCAGCATACAAAAAGAACACATTTCAAATGACGGCGATCTGTAATTAATCAAGTTGTGACCAGACAATCCAGTGGATGAAGTCATGCACATCTATCCACGTAATTGGGATACGATGACATGCATCAACTAAGTCAGCGAGCATGACAACCGAATCCTGACAGTCTCCTCTTACGACAAGCGCAGTTGCCTTTTAATGTGACAAGTGACCTCCTTAACCACAAGGCTTCCCCACCACCCCTTATCATAACAGCATGGAGATATTACATATTTAATATACTGTAGAATCGGAATTGATGTTGCTTATTCCATGTTCCACTGAATATGCTAAAATTTGTAGCTTAACATACAAAATATCAACTTTTATTTTTGAAAATGCTTGAGCATGTTGAGTTTGCATCGAGTTTGGAATAAACATGAAATTACAATGTCATGCTAATCAGACCAGCAAAGCAGGGGCAATAGCAGGCACTCACCTACTTTTCAAAGCTACCTGCCTCATTCTTCCTGAGGGTAAAATTTCCTAATTTTGAACCAGTTTTTTACGTTATCATCTGTATTATTATTTGGATGAGAGCTGAGAGTTGGAAAATTAATTACTCTTCGGATGGACTTGTAACTGGCAGCAACATGATATATTTAGATCATTTTCAGCTATAAATCCTAAACATTCGTGTTCATGCATGTTCACTCATAATGCTAACAACACACGTCTAAAATGTTTCCAAAAAAATTGAAAAAGATCCGTGCCCGCAACCCAAATGTCACCGTCTTATGAATCACTACTTTGGGCGTTGGTTATTTGGTATTGAGGGTGTGAAGCCACCCCCCATTCAATTCCGCCATCATGCCACACCCACTTCATGACACACGAAGTTAGCAAGAAATCGTACTAAACAATTCATCACCGCCATTGCTATTAGTCAATTAAAATACAGATCCAAGATAATGACAAACACAATGTAAACCGCTTCTGGATTCAAGGAGAAAGAAAAAAAGAACGCAGAAGGCAGAAATATGTGTCACGAATCCGTCTGTTGACTTCTTGTCAAGGATTGAGTTATTCGTTAGCTCACCTGTGGCACCTCGACCAAAGTTTCTCTCAACCCACTTCTGCAGGTAGTGTTTTCTAGCCTCTGTTACTTGCTAACGGTAAGATTGAAGGCTTATTAAAACTATATACTCGGTTAATGGGTCGCCAGCTTATCAACCTCCAGTGAGTTGGTGACATAAAATGGCGGACGTGGAGGAAACCACGTTAACTAGAGTTACCTCTCTTAGTTGGGTTGTACTAAAGGATTATTCACATTAAAACGGACACGCATTATTTAAAACGGACACGGAACAACTTATTGCGGTAACCATGGTGCGTTTTTCCAGTAATTATACCTCATATTTGAAACTTGCTTCAATTATTTATATACATTCATATTCCAACCTTCACCTATACTTACCTAAAAGGAACGGTAAAGATCCGGGATAGAGTAGGTCTTCAGCAACCCATGCTTGCCGTAAAAAGCGACCATGCTTGTCGTAAGAGACGACTAACGGGATCGGGTGGTCAGGCTCGTTGACGAGGTTGATGCATGTCATTGTATCCCAAGTGCGTGGATCGATGCTCAATATATCAATCACTGGATTGTCTGGTTTTATCTGGATTATTTACAGACCGCCGTCATATAGGTGGAATATTGCTGAGTGCGGCGTTCGATCGTGAGAGAGAGAAGTTAAACACGTTTACGACAAAATGCATAATATTATTAAGTCATTAATGCATTAAGTCAAATATAAGATGTTTATTGTATATTGAAATTAGACAAATAGGAGTTACTACAATATGTGTGTGACAATACATTTTGGGAAGAAGATACTATAGGAATCGACAATCACACTGGCGTTCCTACCCGTGAAGATCCGGTTAAAATAGGTCTTCAACAACCCATGCTTGCCGTAGAAGGCGACTATGCTCGTCGTAAGAGGCGACTAACGGGATCGGGTGGTTAGGCTCACTAACTTGGTTGATTGCTTGGATCGATGCTCATGATGTCAATCACTGGATTGTCTGGTCCAGCCTCGATTATTTACAGACCGCCGTCGTGAAGCTGGAATATTGCTGAGTGCGGTGTTATACAACAAACAAACAAACAAAACACTGGAGTGGACCTCTGTTTTTTGGGGAAGTTCGGGGTTGGTGCAACCTTTTTCGTTAACGTAGACATAACTACCACTTTTGAAACCCCCTGACTACGACATTCGGTGATTCTCCCAGCAGTTAAAGTGACTTTGTACCACAAAAAGCTTGACTCCAACCAACACAGATTGTTCAAGCTCCCCTTCATCAATCTATGCGTCTGGTGCAAAGAGCAAATTTGGTAACATTCCATCTATTCGTACGTATATTTTGTCCTTTTCACATACAACTATCAATGAAACCGATACGGTAGCCAAACGTACAGGACGTTTAAATCACCAGTGTTTACTTCGATCTACAGTCGTATTTCAAGAAGATTTATGACATTCTGATTGATATTTCCTTTTGCAGATCCCCAGTTTAATCAATAGTTATAATATTACAGGGGTTAAGCTCATTTCCCCATCCGTGACCATTTCATCCAAATAATATCAATATATTATAATTAATTTCAATGGAGCCTGCCATAACGGAGCCATGTCCTTATATAATCAATAGTTATAATATTAAATAGTTCTGGAATTTGTATGACATCTGTGATGTGTAACAAAATGTGTCTTAGTTGACTGTAGTTGTCCTATTTTCGTTTAACTGTGAAAATCGTATAATGAATTGATATAAATAATCAAATAAAGATTGTAGAAATTTGTTGTATGAATTATTTTAGAATATGAAATCTGCTTCATTTAGGAAAGGATATTTTGCAGTTTTTGTTGTAAAATTTATAGTTGACTGAATCAGGGAGATCAGGGCAATCTGTCATTTTTAAAAAATAATATGTTTATTAAAATACCTATTCCCGTGCAGAATATCTTTCCCTTGTTCGAAAATTTACAATATAGTATCTAGGTTCCAGGTTCCCCGAGAGTACATGTCGGAGGAGATATATGTGTTTCAAAGTTGTTGTTTTTATAAGTGATTTTAGAAATAATTGGAAGCTGTATTTTATGAAAAAGGTCAATGGTAAGAATGATTTTTAATTACAATACGCCCTTATTTTTACCTGTGTGTGCTTTTGCGTTTAAATGTCGGTTTTCGGGTTAAACTTCCGCTTAACAGTCGACCTGACATGTTTAAATTGTCAAATATTTGGTCAAGATCGTCAAATCCTTGAGACTGTGCGTTAACCCTTTGGTTTCACATTGTAAGTTTGGACCATCTTCAATAGGTATTCTGCAATAAATAACTTTTTCCTGCTGCCTTTTTACCTTTATTTTTCCCGACCGACCATACTTCTCTGGGAAAAGCTTGGAGATGAGAAACACAAAAACATGGCTAGGACGCGCTGAAGGAACTTGTTCGGTTCAAGGTTAAAGGGAGACAACTCAATCAACGGTTTCCTATCCTACACCCATCTCTGTGTTTTGTGGTTAGCGAAATTTACGCAGAGTGGACACGGATGAAATTTCATATGGGCTGCGCGCCGACGATTTTCGATTCATTCGGGTCTTCACGCCATATTCCGTTACCTACATACTACATCGAAACGACTCATTGGATTTGAGGACCTCTGCATTTGGTGGTCAAAGGAATGTAACTGAAAATCCTGTTTAACATTTGCTGAACAGATTTAATATAATTACCTCCCTTTGGACAAGGGACATAATTCTTGATTTGTTGTCCTCGATTAGCTCCCTTTGAGTAACGACAGTGTGGGAAGTGTGTGCCCATTCGTGACGAATGGTGTGTGCCTTGAAGGCAAGGGAGTTAACTCTTGTACAACACGATTACCTCCCTTTGATCACAAACACAATCACTCTCGACAAATCAAGCTCCTCCCCAGCGCGTGACACATTCGTTACACTATCCCCGTCAGGAGCTTACCGCCAAATGTCACTTTTGCCCAATCCATTTTTTTTAGGAAAAACATCACATATATGTGCATATACATATATATAACGGAGGAAGGATATTGAAACGCGCACGTTGTGTTTTAATTCATGTAACTGAACCAGCTCAGTGGCAGCACGGACGTACATACATATTGTATATACGTCTTTGGTGGCAGCGATATCGGAAGAATAACGAAGGTGTCACGCACTGGGAACGGGCTTATTTTGTGAAAAGTCAAAGGGAGAGAACTCAATGAACGCTGTTTCGGGCGCTTATTTCAATGTTTTGTAGTTAGTGGAATATATGCTGAGAGGACACAATATTGTTTCATAGGCCGCCATGTGAATTGATTTGGGTCCACCCGGCTTATTCCGTTACAAACATACTACTTTTGTACATCGATAAGACTCATTGATTGAGCCTTGACGACCTTGCGGTTGATGGTCAAAGGGAAGTAACTGGAAATTCTATTTACCATTTTCTAATCACACTTACCTCCCTTCGGCAAGGGACATCACTTTTGATTTGTTGAACGCAATTACCTCCCCTTTTTTTTAAAACGCAGTGAAGTGAAGTTTTAAGGGCGACACCGTGTAGAGTAAAGTCAAGGAAGTTAACTCTTGTATAACACGATTACCTCCCTTTGACCACAAATAAAACCACAACTGATTCCTTGTGGTCCTTACTGATGCCAAACGCATTCTTAGAAAAAAACGAATCGCATAAAGGAGGACGTATATTCAAACGTGCACGTTGAGTTTTAATTCACGCAATTGGATCGGAGTTTCCTATATCATTTACTTATTGAAGTTAATTTCAAAAGCCAATGATTTTTGTTGTTTAGCACCTGGGTGAAAGCTTTTTCTAGACATGCCGAAAGGATAATATGACAAACCTGGTTCATCTGTCATGTAACTATGCAATCAGAGGCTCGCACAGTCTCCTATGCATCCCCGCTAAAGGTAATTCTCTCCTAAAAAATTGCTTTCACATTAAAGTTTAGATTTGTTGTGAGATAAAGTAATCTTGACAGATTTACATATCTTGAGATATATACTTGAGAGTTGGCAGGTCTGGGACTAACAACAGACTAGGAACAATATTGACATGATAATTAACAAATAAAACTAAGATAATGGTTACTAGAAAATGTGACATTTGTGATGTCAATTATCTCCGAAGAACAGGTGGTGGCTTGAGGGACACACGCACGCACACTCACGCGCGCGCACGCGCACACACACACACACACATACGCACACACATACAAATACACACACATGCACGCACACAAACACACGCACGCACACACACACACACAAATACAGACACACACACACATACGCGCACACACACAAATATACACACATGCACGCACACAAACACACGCACGCACACACACACAAATACAGACACACAAACACACGCACGCACGCACACAAATACACACTCTTCATGGAGCTGGGGGGTACGGTCTTTCCCTCATTTTGATCCTAAACACGTTTAGCTGTTAAACGCAGTCCTTGACATGTTTTAGACCCTTAGGACTTATTGAACAAAGAACGCTCCAAGGTTAATGTTTAGGATCTAAAGGAGCGGTCGGGGGGTATCGAACAAAATATATTGTCCCAAACAATTCTTGAAAACAAGAATTATGCTTAAGACAGTTGACAAAAAGAATTGCCACACAAATTACATTGTTGCAAGGTGTGTTTTCTTTAAACAATATTCAGGCTCATAGTTCTAATTTTAAAAATATATGCTTTTGCAGCTGTAGCAGAAAAAAATATCCAATGTCCAGACCATATCCATGTTCCTAATTCAGTTTACTTGTGTATTTGACTTAGGTGTACATGTGAGCCATGTCTATATTCTGTATCCCGTTTGTAAACTGAATACACGTGATACATGTGTATGTGTCATGTGTAAAACTATATACGTATAGTATTTTGTCATATTTATAATGCTTTTATTCCTGCTAGTGTATATATATATATTTGTTCAGGGCCATTCACTACACTTCTGATCAGAGGTTCCAGCCTGCGTCCACGAGACGAGGTATGATATTAAAGTTTTATTAATTGTGCATGATTAAATCTATATAAAGTGAAAGAACTGTAAATCTCAATATTTTATTAGTATTGTTATTATCTAGTGCCATTAGACTATCCATACCGATAATTTATATTATTAGATTATGTATGTTTTAAGGGCCGAAACAAACTACTTTGTAGGGATTTT